TTTCCCATAGCAACGTGCACCACAATTCATTTCACGTGGATTAAGATCACTCCGACATCTCCCCTTTAGTCTTGCAACACACACACTCATTCCAACGAAGCTAACGGTAGGGAGTCATTGTTACATTTTTATCTGTGATATAGTACTTCTAAATTGGGTACTGTGCACATAGCAGAGGATTCGGCCAAGAGAACACAGGCTAATTTCTTCCCTGTCATATGACATTTTTAACATGAAAAAGATCCCTGGTATCTTACGCTTTCAAATTGGCTCTTAAATTCTCGAACACCGACACTCAGATCCGTTCCCCTCTCAAGACTTGTAACTCATTACGTAAATTACTCAAAAACCTTTATTCTTTCGGTCGTGCTTCATTGAGTTTCCTCCGTAATATTAAACCATGCTAATGTACTACGTCTGTAATTGTGTTCTTATGTAAAGTGGCGTACCCAGGGGGGAGGGGTGGCTCGTTTGAACTGAAAGTTCTTGAAATTACTCATCAACCGAAATCCCAAATGCTTGTTTCAGCCCCAAGTGTTTCGAAAAATTCTGGAAAACACAAAAGGAATGGTATTCAACATTGTTCGGAGTACCTATTTCACAAAATACCATGACGAAACTGAACATTTTCGGCGGTACGTTACAGCTATTTTAACACTTACGTAACGACTGTGATGTCATTTCATGGCCTAACAGAGTTAATGACCAATCTGCAGAAAAAAGGAGAAGAAGAAGAAAGAAAAAGAAAAAAGAAGAGTTTACCCAATTCGTAGAAATCGTAATGTAAAGTCACACATCAGTAGGTAAGGACGAATAACACGTAATTACTTTATAATGAAGCGATTTTTCTTTAAATTGTAAAAGTCTCTCACAAGTTTTCCTTTTCGAAAGGACAAACCATGACCAGTGTTAACAAAAAAGGTTAGAAGTGAACACATAAAATGTTAATTTTATTAACCGTAAATTTCTATCTAATACATCTGAACTACTGTCTAATTTTGGCTAACGATGTCGTTTCCAGCCAATTTCCTTCCTTTCACATTCTAGATGCTTCACATGTACGATAAGCCTGATTTATATGGCACGATATCCAGCTTTTTTTTTGGTGTGAGTGTGTGTGGCGCAAAACTGATATATATTATTATATGCAGTGTTGACACTATAGTATTTCTGAAAAAAAACATGAGGATGTTCTGTGTGTAGGTTTTACGTCACCTCACCGCCACCGACCTGTCATCCTTTATGTCCCCACAGGCTGTCAGAGGCAGAAGCTGAGTGCTCCATTCTCCACGGTCGTCGGCTTCGCCCGCATTGGCGCTATCGCTACTCGATGACCCGTTATCAGAACTGCCTCACCCTGTTCCCCGCTCACTCTCTCTCACTCACTTTCCCTCCGTCTTTCTTTCTCTCTCTTTCTCTCTCTCTCTCTCTCTCTCTCTCTCTCTCTCTATCTCTATCTATCTATCTCTCTGTTTTGTTGCCACACTCGGAAGTATGTTGCCGCAAAAATATTACCACCGTTTTAACTGCTCCGTCACGTCTTGCCTCAGCGCCACCCGCATCTCGCTGCTGCAACCCTCGCGCCCGCGCCACCGCGCGTCTTGCGCCATCCTCGTCCGCACTTCCGCCATTCGCCCTCACTGCTCTGGATCGGGGAGGTGGGAGGACGCACCCCGCAGCAAAGACGCGAGTTGGAATCTATAGCATGTCCAGCTGCTGACACCTTTTGTCGGTTAGTCCGTCTCTTCCTTCATACTGTCTTCGTCACTATTTTCACTATCTCCAGAGCTTTCTTGCCTTTATAGCATATCCGTCATTCCTAACTTCTATCAGCTGTTACACACTACCTTTTCACCCATTTCTTCAATTTCATGACAGTATCCATCAATGATGAAATTTTTTTACAAAAAGATTTATCTCAAAATGATAAGCGAGTAGAAAAAAAACATTAAAACGTTTTCAAGCTTTTACGGTAAACATGTGAGCTGAACAACGTTCCATCTTCTATCCATAAAATGTATTTCTTCGTCCTTCCAAAAGAAAATCTGTTCTTACCATCTGAAACACTAATCGTTTCTTCAAAGCACATACCCAGCAAATTGCCAGAAACGTCCGTTCTTCCTTCCAAGAGCCAGGGCAATGCAATGCAAGCCTACTCCACCCTAGTTTGTAGATCAATCCCGTTCTGCAGGGTCAGATTAAGGGGTTAGAATTCCGGGAGTGAAACAGTTGGGAATGGAGCCCTGTCAAGATTAAAAAAGAAAGATAGGAATAATCGGCCGCTCAGGACAATCCAGCCCTGAAAGAAGGAACTTCGCGGTAACTTCTATTCAATGGATTCTGAATTCGAAATTCTGTCTGCGCTTGTACATTCACCATCTATCATCATTCTTTCGTAGCGGATACTTCACCGTTAAGCCTTATAGCATTGTTGAAATCACGGTAGAGAGTTGAAGTTTGCTCCCTCTTTACTTTCTACTGATACCCCCCTGTCATAGTTTCGAGGAAATGTCTGACAATGAGTCTTAGTACCATCAGGTTGCCACATTTCGAAATTTTCATTTTCATACTTAAAAGTTTGTCGAAATCAATAATGATAATAATGATAATGATAATAATAATAGTAATATTAATAATAATAATAATAATAATAATAATAATAATAATAATAGTAATAATAGCCTATCTAGATAGCTGAGATCGGGCATGGTTGTGTTTGTGTGTATGTCTCTGCACGTTTGTGATTGTACATTTCTCATTCTTCTCATCATCATTATTATCATTTCAAACCTCATCTCCCATGGCTAATCAAACCTAGGTGGCAAAAACCGGATTCGGCAAGAAATGCCTACCCACCTCATGGTAATTCATGCGGTACTACCTTTGATAAGATACTGAATTCCGCCCCCCGTTGGTTGCTACAAGATTTCTTCTTTATTGCCCAAGGAGAGTCCATTTGGCATTCTAAAATCTAAAAACAAAAATCTACACGAACGGTCCCGCTAGCGGACAGACCAGAGAAGCTATTCGTAATACACATAAAAAATACACTGCAAGAATTCCGAACTTAATTCTATGGCTGATTTGAACGGTGACGGAAAGACAAATATTATTTTCTTCTTTTTTTTTTCCGTTTTACCCCAATATAGGCTTCACGTAAGGGACAGGATCTACTCCGGGCTGGGGGGGCAAACCACCGCACACATAACGAATTGAATAGGCGAGACTACTGACAACGTTAAGACTATTCCCATTTTGCCCCCCTCCCCGGGAAGTCACGTTGCGCCCCGAACAGAAGAAGGCGCTGGCCCGGACGGCGCGGCGTTCGCCCGCCTCTCACCCACCCACGCCCTCAGCTCTCGGAAGGAAGGTGCGGAATACGCCGCCTTATGGACTTCAAAAAGAGACTTTATAGTTTGGCGAATTTCTCCGTAAAACTTGCACAACTTGAATAATTTGTCATTGTATTTGTATTTTTTCTCTTCACTAAGGAAAAACATTATAGACTAATGTACTTGCGATTATTCATGAAATGCCCTCACTGCATCTCAACAAATGAATTTTATTTATTATTCAAGATTATTGCAGTAGTTAGCATAAATTATAGACGCCTTTGGTGTATTTTTTGAATGGATGTTTGCATCAACACGGAATCAGAATAACGATTTTTTAAACGAGTGTAAGATACTAGTTCGGTCCTTTCACCTTTATACAACTCAATAATTGACTTTGTTGTGATCGTCGGAATCTAATCATATTTTTTCGCAATTCTATATTGAAATTATGCCGGAAGAGAAAATTACTAACCTCCCACGGGGAAAACCCCACACCTTTGCATAATACAACCAAAAGCTTCTGTAACAGACCAATAAAGCTCTGTTCTGTTCTAAAGCATTTCAACCATAGAGAAAACAGTCATTTCGTTATTGGCTCAACTAATGATTCTTTAAGTCACGTATAACGAAAACGTTAGTATCAAGCAAGTCGACCTAAATGTAGCTGCATCCGCTCTCCGTTAAAGGTACGGTTCGAAAAATTCGCGTTTAGACTACGGAGATATCCTCGTAATTGATAGCGCTAAGGGCAAAAAGGATAATTACGCGGCAGTTTCTTAGAACCATCGTAACTATTATTATAGTTCATAATTCTTAGGAAAGAGCCCCAGTTCAGTTTCTTAGACAATTGTTCCGAAGAATCCTGATTTGAAGAAATACTGGATAGGTGGCTTAACGACAGAAAGGGAAGGAGGGCATGAGAAAAGTGAATAGGATGAACTGAAGGTAACAAGTAAATGCAAGAGGTCAGAAAGGACGAAAAAGGGAAAGAACAGGAAGGAGGAAAGGAAAGGATATGAGGAAGGAGAAAATAAATGTTTGCCCCATGATTCCGCGGTGGTGACGTCACCGCTTGGGGATTGCTCTGAGCACCGGCGGCTCGCTCGAGGCGAGAGGCGCAGGCGATGCGAAACGGCGATGGCAATGCCAGGCGAGGCGCATGCGAAATGGTGATGCAAAGGCGAGGCAATGAGGCAGTGCCGAGAGGGGCGGAGGCGAGAGCTGAGGCGAGACGCGATGCGAGAGAGGCGGGAGGCGAGAGGCGGCGGGCGAGAGGCGGGGCGAGAGGCGGGGCGGAAAGGGTGGCGAGGAGAGGCGGGGGGGACCGAGAGGGAGGCAGGCGGGGGTGCGAGGGTTTGTGGGGCGGGGGAGGGCGGGGGGCGGGGGCGAGATAAGGCGGGCGGAGGAACGGGGGCGAGAGAGACGGGGGCGAGAGAGTAAAACGGGCGAGTGGCGGCGAGTGGCCGGGGGGGCGGAAGGCGGGGCAAGAGGCGGGGGGCGCGCGAGAAAGGCGAGGGAGAGGCGAGGGAGGCGGAGTAAGGTGAGGGCAAGGCAAGAGGGGCGATGCAAAGGCCAAACGGCGAAAGAAAGGCGCGAGGCGGCGGGGAGGGGCGTGCGAGAGGCGGTGGCGGAGAGCGAGGGCGAGTGGCGCGAGGGCGGGAGCGCGGCGAAGGCGAGTGGCGAGGAGGCGAGTGGCGAGGGAGGCCGGAGGGGTCAAGGCGAAGGCGAGAAGGAGGGGGCGAGGACGTGAGGGCCGAGGAAGAACGGTGCGTGTCCGGTGCGGCCAACACACACCCGCGGCCTGGGATGACGCGTCGAGTGTGCCGGCGGCGGGCCGCCGCGCCGCGCCGTCCGCCGCCTGTTTTTTTTCGTCGGCACAAAAGAACCAGGTGCTGAGGCGCGGTGGCGAGTCGCCGGCACGTCCGCCCCGCATTCCCTGAGGTCGTCGTCTGCCGCGCTGACCTCAGACCTCGCAGGCCGCGCCGGAGATTTATTCCCGGTAATTTCCTGCTCTTTCCGTGGGCTACCGTCGCTTCGGGTCAAGCAAGTTTTTAGGGGGAACTGCCTCTGTTTTCATTGAAGGGTTTTTTTTTTTGTCTGTTTCGCTCAACCTCATGTTTCTGTTTCCTCTTCTTTCTTTCTTTCTCCTCATATCGTTAATTCCACATTAGTATAAAATCTCGTGTTAGTTGGGTAAAAGTTTAAGATTGTAAGCCCTAATGGTTGCGTGATTAATATTATAAATAAGTTGAGTCTACTGTATAGTTTAGTTTGGTAATAAGTAGTTATAAATGTAAGTTTGATAATAAAATACAAAAGGGGTGTAAATAATGGGTAAATAATAGCGTAAAATTGTAAGTGGATGATTTAAAAGAGGTATCGAAAATTTGTAAATTCGTAGGAATTGGCAGATTAAGTTTAGGTTTTTTTATTTAAGAGCTAGGGTTAGCGCGCCCCCCCCCACATTACTGTATCAATAATATATACCACAAAATCAACCACACAAACCAACCCACACACCCCAAGTATACATGATATACTACAAAAAATGATGGGTTAACATCACTGTCCCTTTGTCGCTATTGACAGCTGACTTCGGGTTTCACTCTCGCTTACCCAGTCGTAGTTACCCATAAAATTCCTTCAGCAGAACGATTCGGAAGTTGAATTTTAAGGCTAAAATTAAATTCTGGGAAAACACAAATCAAACAAAACTGGCAT